GCGATCATTTAGTATAACAGAATAGGAAATTTATTGTGGTTTGGTAAAAATTTTTTGAGGAAGGTGATTTGGATTTACATAAATCAATATTGGCAAGAAAAAAAAAGAATTTTCAAGAGTAGCATTATTTATATATAGTGTTGTTTTCAGTTCATTCGTTTATGTATTTATAACAATTTGTATTGTAAGCAGAAGGTATTGATTGAATAAAATTGAATATTTTTAAGTAAAGTATAATACATTCCCTTCGAAATCCTTCCTTTTACACCTTTCGTGATATTTTCGCTTTCGCCGTTTTAACTTTGAATTTCGTAGTTGTATCTTCGTTTATTATATTTTTTTAATTTCCGATTTTATTTTATTTTATTTTTTGTAATATGTTCGTAATTGCGCAGTTTTAATAAATTAGAATTTGGCATTTACTTAGTTTAATTTATTGATCAAGCGAAAGTGTAGAGCGACGATGTTGAGGAAAAACTGATTAATTTTATAATAATTCAAAGAAATATAACAAGGGCGAACGTGGATATTGAGTTGTTTGAGGATTTCCAGCTCGTAAATATATAATTAGGCCAGTCTGGCGTCTTGAGCATTTTGTCATACTAGCACCTTGACAACCTGGCACCTTGATATCCTGGCCCCAGCCTGGCAAATGATCTTCAAAGGACTAACTGCAAATATCGAAAGCGATTTTCATGCGGAATTATGGAGATTTCGGCCGAAATTACATTCAATTGTAACAATAGTTCGCTTTCAGAAAATGTTAAATTTCTTATATTTATAACAAGGAAGGCTTGAGGTATAATTCAACGTTCCACATCCATATCCTGCTTGTCCAAAACCTTTTGAAGCGAAAGAACTAAGAACTCAAATTCATAAAAAAAAAAAATAAAATAAATTCATTCAGTCGCCGTGCCCCGAAGCGATCAAAAAAATATAATTATTCAAAAAGAAAAACTTTACCTAGCGATCAAACCCGAGTTACATAAAAATAAAAAAAAATCCCAAGGTAAAGCACCAAAACTCAGTATAAATATAATATTTCTGTAAATCTTTTTATTATTTATTTTTTTAAAAAAAAAGTTATAAGTCTAATTTTAATTATGCATGATAAATTTTACAGATCATTTATCTTGGAAGTTAACATAAACGTTATAGTTTCTGGATAAATTTCGTTGGTTTAGATTTTTTAATTATTATTCTATATAAAAACTAGTGGAAAATGAAACAATACTATGATAATAAAGTTTTTATTACTCGTCTGTTTAAAAAAGTTTTGCGAGAATAGGTTCCTAGCGATCAGATTTTTTTTCAAATTTTATGTCGTACAAACATGGTGTAATATTATTATCTGTTATCACTATTATAATTTATTAAAAATAAATCAGATTTTTCGGGAAGCTTTTACGCTTTTGTTGATTTAGGCGTATTTCCCATCAAAAATGTCACGAATCACGAAAATTCACGTGATATATTTTGTCGCCGATGTCACTTCCCTCCGCGTTTTCATTTTTTACTAAGTATCAGTGATGTCGGCCCTTTCGTGACAATTTTTACATTTTCTGAGGGTACGTAGGGGAAAAAACCTGTGTCATCCGTTTTAATAACTTGTTCATTAAAATTAGACCATGAACTAAAAAAAATTTTTTTCTTTTTAAAAATTCATTATATACATCAAGTACTGTATAAACATTATAATATTTTCAATTGAGCAGTTTAACTAATTTATATGATTGAGCGAATTTGAAAGTTAGCATAAAGTATCATTTTATTATCGATTATCTAATATTCGATTTTCGTTCGATTTATTTATAGCTTAGAGATTTTTTAAATCACAAATTGAACGCGAGCAATATGTATTTACAAAAAAAAAAAAAGCCTCCACTTTCAAGAAAAAATTATTATTTATCAAAAAAATATTTGCATTTTCATAAATTTTTACATTTTATGATAATAAGATATAATTAAGACTTCCGGTAATTCGATTATATTAAGATAATGCGCTTCACCCCTTATTGGTGTAGCATTCTTATTTATTTAATTTTATTTTCATGTTTATTTTCATTTTGTTAAATTATTTTGAATTTTTTTTTTTTATTCTTAGGTTCCTCTTTCGACTTTAATCTCTTCGAAAGTCACATGTGTTTTTTTTTTAGTTTTTAGATTCTTTTTTTTTTTATTTTCAGTTTCGCGATCAAATATTTATATTTTCCGCCACATTGATTTATCATTCCTTTTTTTTTTTTCAAAAGATTCCTCTTAGGAATAAATTAAAGGTTTTTCTTTTTTTGATTAAATCGTGCATTGATCAAATATACAGTATGATTGTTGGAACCGGTTAAAGATTTTTTGCCGTTTAGAATTTAAAAAAAAAAAAAATGAAAAATGAAAAATGAAAAAATGAAAAACTCGTCAAAAGCTTTTTTCTTTAAAGTATTTGGGAGGTTTGTTATTAAATCTGATAGTAAATCAAATGGGACCTTTGCAATAGAAAAGGGGGAAACGGCCAGAAAAATTAATTTTACTTTTATATGCCAAATATGATTTTTAGGTCAAAATATGTTCAGATTTAGCATTAACTCGTTTTTTATTTTTCGGCCGTTTCCCCCTTTTCTATTGCAAAGGTCCCATATGATCATTTAAAAGAAAAAGCTGATTGGATACTTTCCAGTAGGGGTGATGTGAGTGATTTAAAACATTTTTTCATCACGAAAAATTTATTCTGATCGAATTAAAAACACTACAAAACAAAATCCTCATTTAAAGATAAAATTCCGCATGAGATAATTAAGACAAAGAAATTGGTGGGAAGATTCCGCAGTCATTCATTCATATTTTACCGGTACCATTACGAAAAGTAATGATTTTTTTTTTAACAGATCAAATTCAACTCATGTAAAATTTAACAATGTTCAATTCTTTAGATTAAACTTCCAAAGAATTTCAAGCGTGAAAAATGTTCTGGGCTTGGTCGTTAGTTTATTAGAGGATAGGACGTCTTCATATCGCAAGAATAATAGATATGCTTTCCCGCCCTGTAATTTATCATCTCGACATTGACAGTGTATTATTAACGATTTATTAATAAATCATCGGTCGTTACTGTTGTCGTGAATAAATTATTAGGTTGCTTTCATACATTTCCCGCATATGAAAATCGTTCATTAATTTACTTATTTTTACGAAATATAGTTTCGCTAAAGAGAAAATAAAATTAAAGACAATTATGATTTAAAATGCAAAAAATATTTATTATTAACTTCACTAATTCTAATCATAAAACGCAATTGACAACATCTGATTCTATTGAAAGTGTAGGAGGTGAGGGCCCCGTTTAATCTTCTCTTTTCGATTTTAAAATCGAAAAGAGAAGATTAAACGGGGCCCTCACCCCCTACACACGATAGATTATGAATACTTCAAAATAAAAAACATCACTGAATTCTAATTGAACAATTCTAAAAGCTTGCTGCAAGATTTAGACAATTTTTTCCATATCGGTTTTCACTTCCCATATTTCAGATTTCATCTCTGTTACGTCTGTTCTAAGCTCTGAAATTTCGGTTTTCATCTCTGTTATGTCGGTTCGAATCTCTGATATATCTAATTTAATTTCCGCTATTTCTGAACTTTGTAATCGTGAGATCTCTAATTCTTGACAATCCAATAAATTATATTGGCATGGATCATTAACTTTCCCACGTATGCCAAAATAATTTTTATCCATCCTTCTGACTGTTTCGAGCTTGAGAATTAGTTGACTTGTTCAACTTCCAAAGTTCATAATTTCAGTATTAATGCATGCGCGATTATAATACTTAAATACTTTAATATAGTATACATGTATATATAATGCCTTAGATGCACGTTGGTGAAATAACCTGCCGATGTTGAAGAAATAATCCTGTCGGTGAAATTAATGTCGGTGAGTTTGTCGGTGAGATGAACCGGACTTTTTTCTTTTTTATACAATTTATATTTAACTTGTAGGTTGTGGTAGAATGGAATGGATATCTCAAACGGCAATGCTACGGTCACAATGCTTTATTTGGTTCGAGTGGCAAACCAGTCTATAAATAAGGGCAAGCTTAGTTTCATACACACAAAGTTTATCATACTTTTTTGAAGTTTCGGAGAAGATTTTTTCTAACATTAATTCCAGCAATTTATTCGTAAAAATTATTTTTATTTATGCTTTTTTTTTTTGAAATTAATTATATATTTATAATAAAGTATATTAATTAATATATTTCTATCTGCATAATATGACGTCAAAAACTTATTAATATTCAATTCCCTGTATTGGGTGTCTAAATCAAGGATTCATTAGCAAAGTATTATTTTATTTTCTTAAAATGAATTAGGAAATTTCAAATTTATATTGAATGAAAATGACTTTATGTTATATGTAAAAAGTACATCGAGAAGAATGACGAGGAAACAAATAAAAAAGAAAATTATTTCCATTCTATCGTACAGTATTTTAAAATTATTTTACATAGAAAAGTTACAAGTGATTTAATCAATTATCATGTACATTTATAATTATAATAAAAATTTTTTCTTTTATTTATTTAATCAAAAAACCAGGTACGGCTTTAATAGCGTTAATATAACCTCTAGAATTTACGTGTTTAACATATTTCCATCCACTTTTCTTTAAAATCTTAATAAATTCTTGTGTTGTGCGTTCTTTACCAAAAACAGTGCATAACATCGCTAAATCCATTTGAGTAAGGAAATCGTCACGAATTGGTTTGTCCATAATTATTTCTAATAAAACTAATTTGGTCGGAACATCTGAAGGAGAAATCGCTGATCGAAGATTTTTAAGAATTTTAACGGCCGATATATCATGTAAAATCCATCTTAAATAATAAACGTCCGCTATTGGTGGTGGATCCACAAAGAAGCTGCCGGATAAAATTCAACCCGGTCTGAAAGTTCCTTACGTATATTTTCCTTCCATACCTAAATGTATATATATAAAAAGAAAAAATTATTTTTTTTTATTTTCTATTAGACATGTAATAACGGCATTTTTTTTTTCATAGACGTCGTACCTTTTGAGTATGTCGATCACTATATAAAGATCAAAAATGATTCCTTTCGTTTTTTTATATTTACTTAAAAATTTTACTAACGTTCCGCCATTTCCACCACCAACATCAACAACTGTTGAATTCTCATTTAATCTCCAATCACAGTTTATTTTTAAAACTTAAGTAAACACTAACGAGCATTTAAAAGTAAACAAACAATCAAGGTATCTATAGAAAGTAATACATTACCAATAAAAGGACCATTACCAATGATCTTATTCGAGTGAATCATTGCGTAATTGAGTCTTTCTAATTTATCTTTGTTTTCTAGCAAAGCATAATACTCCCATATATCGATGCCAAAAGTTTTCTTCCAAGGGGTGACAATTTCTTTTATTTTATCCTCATGTTTGTCCACATCACCATCAATATCGTCCCATTTATTTGGATATTTAAACGTCACACCAATGTTATTAGAAGCCTTAAAGAATTCTTCAATTCCCATCTCGATAATTAACCTCACACTATTTGGATGATCATCTCTTAAGACCGATGACATTCGATTATTCGAATAGACCCCATCACCATGATTATAAAAGATTCCTTTTGTTGATACCGCTCGTAAGAATCTGCCTAAAACATCTTCATTTGTGTCAGTTAATTCGGCCAACCTTTTCACAGACACTTTGCCTCCCTCTCTTTTAATAATATCAGCTATTCTTAAATTCGCTAGTTCAAATAATGCGTTGAGTATGAGATAATCGTAAATATGGCCTGCCATCAAATGTAGTGGTGAAAACAAGTAATTCGGTAGTAACCTAACATGATAAAAATATTTTCTTTGAAAACAAATTTTTATTTATTTTTTTTTTTTAAAATTATTATCGGAAAGTTACTCACAAAAATTTTTTCATTCATAATACAAGATCAAAAATCGGGGCTGGTAAATAGTTCCCATCATTCGTATAATCATAATTTAAATCATAATCAACATTTGACGAATAATAATTCATAAGTACCGAGCTTAATAATATAAGTAAGCTAAAATAAAAAACCTTTGATTTTAAGAAAATTGGCATGACGATATTATTTTTTTTTTAAAAAAAAAAAAAAAGTATGAAAATTCATCACGTATATATAGGGAAATAATGATCAAACCCTGAATTTCTGCATTTAAGGTTCATTATTGGCCCAATGTATGTTCATTATCATTATGTATGTACGAAGACGTGATTTTTGAAAAAAAAAAAAAAAATCAAGAAAAAAAAAAACCAACTTTTGTTTCGTGTTTTGAGTTAATACCTACAGTCAGACCCTTTTGGTTTTCTTGTTTTCATGAAAATATTTTATAAACGTTTTATACCTCCTCTACAAAAGCCACAAATGTCAAAGGATTTTATGTTCAATTTTTTTGATTGTTAAAAATATTTAAAATAAAATTCATGAAAATCAATTCGGAACATACCAGAATAGGAATGAACACAATTTATAACTACAGTATATTATGCGAACTTATTAAATTGCTCTAAATTAGCAAATTCTGTAAGAATTTTTTCTACCTTGACTTACGAACACGACTCTGTTTAGTGTAATTTGTTCTAAACGAATCACGCTTTGCTTTTACGATAAAAAAGATTCTGTTTCAACATTTGCTTCTAAAACTATAGATAAATCAAATATCAATGCTTCCATTTATCGTATAATGAATAAAGAAATCCGTGATTTCTCTGCTTCCATGATTTTAAAAGCATTGAACGTTTATTTGAAATTCTTGCCCATATCTCACCTAGCATCCAAATTAAGAGAAATAATAAGCATATGTTAACAATCATTAACAATCTACCTATGAAATATCTACACAATAAATTTTGTGCAGCTCAGATTTGTACTGATACAGATTTTCCACAAAGTTATAACATAAAGAAATGCTTATTTTTTTTTTAAAAAAAATTAAATAAAATTAATAAAAATATAAGAGCTGACATTCAAAACCCATTCTTGACGTTTAAATATTTGTTCAAACAATATTATTAGTATGGATGGTTTCCCTAACTATGCGATAATTGTAAAGTTTTTGGAGGAAAAAAAATGGACTGGCACTTTATGCATGCAACCATTTCCAGAAATTTATTATTGCAATCCCGTACGGAATTGTTAATAGAGCTAATGATTTTTAAATGATTTAAAAGATTCATGAATGAATTCATTCCGAAAATCACTCTTTTATATGCATATGCAAAAAAAAAAAAAATATTATTTAATAATTTGTTTCGTCGATAATTTTTTTTAAATTATTAAATAGCCAATTTGATTCGTAATATATATTTTTATTATTTTGAAATAACTAGTAAATATGTTATCGTAAAGTAAAATTATATATAAGACAAAAAAGACGATTCGATTTTTTAACTCAAACTTAACGAATATCTCATTATTTTAATCAATATCATGAAAAGAATTTCATTCATACATAATCGTTGAATAATCATTGATATCGTAATACAATTTGAGATAAAAAATGTAATAAATATATTCCTCCCAAATTTGCTCAAAATCACTTTCATAAACTCGTCCAATCTCCAAATGTTCTTCATCCAATAATAATATAAATATCCCACATATACTATTTAAATTCTCATTAGTCTCCATTAATAACTTTGTAATAATTAAATTATTCTAGCCACAAAATATTGTCATCCATTCTAAAACATTACCATTCTACTTCTTTTACTCAAAATTAATTTAATCGCTACCATATTATGTCAACAATTACTACTATAATGATGCAATCCAAAATATAATCCAGTCCAGTTAAAGCAATTAGATGCGTTAGTAAAATATAAATATAAAAAAACCAAAAAAAAAAAACCAATGCGTAGCAAACCCGATCTGCAGAAACTTTCATCAATCATCATCTCTATCATGTCCCCACTATCTCATTGTCTAACAATCCATTTGTACTACATATCTCCATCATCTCACAATCCATTAATACTACATATCTCAATCTTTCCCATTCATAAATATTATATATTATCCATTAAATTAATTATTCCAGTCAAATCCAGTCAAACCAATTTATAATTCTAAATTACTCTTATTGATACAAATTAGATATTAAAAATTTTCCATTATTATAAGGTCCAAAGGTAGCGGTCCAGTAAAGCAATTAGACGCGTTAGTAAAATATTGATGTAAAAAAAAGCAAAATAACCAATACATAAGCAAACCCGATCCGCAGAAATTTTCGTCACTATATTATCTCCCTACCATCTCAAAGTCTAACAATTACATATCTCCATCGTCTCACAACCATTAATACTACATATCTCAATCTTTCCCAACCCAATTCATAAATATTATATATTATACATTATTTATTCCAGTCAAATCCAGTCAAACCAATTTATAATTCTAAATTACTCTCATTGATACACATTAGATATTGAAAAATTTCCATTGTTATAAGATCAAAAGATAGCGGTCCAGTAAAGCAATTAGACGCGTTAGTAAAACATTGATATAAAAAAAAGCAAAATATAATCAATACAAAAGCAAACCCGGTCCGCAGAAATTATCGTCAATCATCTATCTATATTATCTACCATCTCAAAGTCTAACAATTACATATCTTCATCGTCTCACAACCATTAATACTACATATCTCAATCTTTCCCAACCCAATTCATAAATATTATATATTATCCATTATTTATTCCAGTCAAATCCAGTCAAACCAATTTATAATTCTAAATTACTCTCATTAATACACATTAGATATTGAAAAATTTTCCATTGTTATATTATATAAAGTCTTTCCGGTTAGCAAAGCAATTAGGTGCG